GTTGGAATAGCAACTTCTTTGATAAATTCTGGAAACCAATGGTTAGTAACATGTTTAACATTTGCATTGCCTTATGTATTCCATTATATTTATTGTCCATTAACCTACGCAACCGAATTCCAATAAACAGGGATTATCCAAATGGTTGGGCGCCGCTTCAACACATGATAATAGAAGGTTTGTTAAGATCAGGATCAGAAGAAGCAAGGGCAATGGCTGAAGACATTGCAGTAAGGTGGATCAGAACCAACTATGTTGCCTACAAGAAAACCGGTGGTATGCATGAAAAATATAATGTGAAGAAGTGTGGAGATTTCGGAGGTGGTGGTGAATACATTCCACAAGTGAGTACATTTGAAGAAATATTATCTTTAGAGTTGAAACTAGCCGTCGATTTAATATTTATTTTGTGGCATGCTTTGATGCAGACTGGTTTTGGTTGGTCAAATGGAGTTGTATTAGCATTATTGGAGGAGTTTGGATGGCCTCGAAACCTGAAGATAGATTGCCAGTGAGCTACGAAACTGAAGAAGGAATTTTGATATACTAGAATAAAGGATGCAGGCCGTTGTTTATTGAAATTGTATGGTATACTAATATACCAATATTCAAACACCCTCTTTGTTGCAGGGGTTATATTGTTAACAATAAAATCAAAGGCCTGTTTTGTATGTTACTTGAAATATGATATTATAAAAAACTGTTTGGTATATTATATAAAATATGATATTATGAAAAACTGTTGTGAATAGGATATGATATGATTAAATCAAATAAGATAGGATTCCGAGAATGTGTTTGACGCATATTTTAATTACATTTTTTGAAATTATTTAGATTATTTTTTAACCCTTTACATTTAACAAAAACACTCTCCCACGCAATTGGTATTTGGCTACCATCATCGGACAGTGGTCGGTAGTAGTCAGAATGGCGCACAATTGGTTTGATCGGGTTGGTCGTGTGTTGAACTAGTCTTTTCCATTCAAATCCATCGTGTATTTGACCAAATTTTTTATGGCTAGTTCGACACACAATCAGCTAGATCTGGTTGATCGCCAATTGTTCTGGTGGTGGTTGACAGTGGCTTGGTGGGTTAGAGCATCTCCAAATGACTCTTTTTATGACCCAAACTCTTTATTATAAAGAGTCTATTTATAAAAATAAGAATCCAACAGACTCTTTGTCTTTAAGATATAAATTACAGAGTGGGTTTGACTGTCCACATTTAGAGGGTCAAATTTCACTTTCTATCCTAATTTTAATTAATAAACTACAAGTTCTTATGTATTTTATTTAATAATTTTCTCTCCCCTTAAGAGCATCTCTAATGATGCTCTTTATTTTAAAGAGCATCTTTCATATAAATAAAGAACATCTTCATTAATTTTTAAATATAAAGAATATAATTTTTATTCAACTCCAATAGACTCTTTAAATTTAATGATGATACTCTTTATTTTTAAGAAAAATACTTAATAGGAGAGAAAATTAATAAATAAAATACATAGAAACTTGTAGTTTATTAATTAAAATTAGGATAGAGAGTGAAATTTGACTCTCTAAATGTGGAGAGTCAAACTCACTCTCTAATTTATATTTTAAAGATAAAGAGTTTGTTGGACTCTTGTTTTTATGGATAGACTCTTTATAATAAAAAGTTTAGGTTATATAAAAAGTCATTTGGAGATACTGTAAGTCTCTTTCTTCAAAATAAAGAGTATCTTCATTAAATTTAAAGAGTCTATTGGATTTGAATAAAAATTGTTTTCTTCATATTTTAAAATTAATGAAAATGCTCTTTATTTATATAAAAGATGCTCTTCAAAATAAAGAGCACCATTGGAGATACTCTTAAGGTGTTTTGTTAATTTAAAAGCTTTTATCGTGAAAGGTAATTGTATGCTTTGAGTTAAGTAGAATAAAATTAAATTTTGAATTAAATTTCGTCAATATTAAAAAAAATACGTTTTTTATTGTTTATAATAACTGTCTATAATAGGATAAGATAATAGAATACAAATACGTATTTTACTATTTACAATAACTGTCTATAATCTGATAGGATAATAGAATAGAGATTTGAAAAGTAAACAAACAGGGGAAAGTTGAACAAAAATAACTTTGGATGCGTTTATTCCTATCCATATTCCCAAAATACTTATTTGTTTTATTATTTGAGAAATACTATTCTATTTTTTTAATTACTTTTAAATCCCTTAAATTTATTAATTTAATTAAACACCCTTAGAAAAAAGTTTGAAAATTAACAAAAACACCCCCACCCCCCATAGTCTGTCACAACGGTGTAAAAACGACCAGAACTGGACGGTAATTTTTCAATCTGGCCTTTTCTGGTCAGGTCCACACTAGATCTGGTTGGAAAAAGCCAGATCTAGCCATCGCTTTTGCAGCCGTCGATGGCCAAATCTGGCCGTAGATCTGGTCGAAAAAGACCATATCGAAGCACTATCAGTCTGTGTCGTAACGCTATTTTTCGACGGTGGTGGCCGGAATCTAGCACTATGGGTAGGTGGGGGTGTTTTTGTCATTTTATAAAAATTTTATATATTAGGGTGTTTAGTTAAATTAGCAAACCTAGAGGGTTTTTTTGTTAATTTTTAATTTTTACCTCGTAATACTCACCCTATTCAACTACCCAATATTATTCTTAAAATCATATCTAAATTAACAAAACAAACGGACCTTTAACTTTTTACAAAGTGGTATGACAGCTGGAAAGCCACATCAACTGTCACATCACCACTTTCTTAAATATTAAATATTTAATAATTAATTAATTATATTAATTAAAATATTTCAATTAACCTAAATAAAAAAAAAAATTGATTATACTAAATAAAAAATCTACTCTCATCCTTAATCTTTTTCCCTTTCCTTCTCTTCTGTTCTCTTCTCGTCCTCTTCCTTTCTTATTTGTTTCCCAATCTCAACCACACCACCGCCGTCTATGACTTTATCCTCTTCCACCACCACTTGCATCTAGAGGTGGAAAATTTGTGCTGGGTTAGGCGGGTCAACACTAACCCGGCCCGTAAAAATGCGGGTTAAACACAGCAGCAACCCCCGGGCGGGCTGGGTTGCACAATGGCAACCTGCAACCTGGCGGTTTGCTATTTTGTCTCTTTTGCAAGAGACCCGGCAACCCGCCGGGTTGGCTGTTGCAACTCGGCGGGTTGGCCGAAAAAAATTAAAAAAAAAAAAATTATTTTATTTTACAAATTACCCCTTTATCCTTGAAATATAGCCTTTTTATAGCCGTTGGAGGGGTCTTTTTCATCATTTTTCTTTCCTATTTTTTCCTATAAATTGGCCCTAAACTCTCACATTTTTCTCACAACTCAAANAGTTGCAATATATCTCAAATCTTGTTTATAGATTCTCGGTTCTCAAATTATTGTTGAAATAATTAGGGTTCTATTCTCCAAACACTAATCTCGTTTGTGTTGAATTCTGATGGTTCGATGTTAAACTTTTGTCATGATAAATTTTTTGCCAAAACCGGAGCAAAATAAGCTTTCCGATCAGGATCCAGCCCTGATTGATGCACCCTTGGAGAAATGTGTTTTGCTAAAAAGTATTACCTTACTGTTGTTGAGCTGCAATTTTGATTTTGACATTTTTGGGTAAGATGATAGGTTAGAATTACTTAGAAACCCGGAAATGATGCTGGAATAAGAAGCGTAGAATTTCATGATTTTGAAACTGAAATGATGCCGGAAAAAGTTGAGTAGAACTTCAAGATTTGGCAGCCTCTAATGTTTTAGCATATGAATTCTAAATCCTTGCAAACTTACGTAGAGCTTTCGTTTTTTTTTTTTTTTGAAGGTAATATTTATTTTACATACCATTGAATTTGTGTATCTCTTAGCTTACTAGTGAACGTTCTGGTATTTAAATTTTTACTATGTCAATATATTTTTACATTCTTATTATTCTATGCATTTCTTATTAAGATGAAGACCACCCATTCCCTACTTCGAGGAATGGGGTTACAAGCCTTGTGTCCTTCTTGCTTCTTTCTCTTTTTATTTAAGGCAGCTTCCTAATAAGTTCTATAGGTATTCCCTCCCCTGGGTAGCATGGCATTGTACAAGAGAGTCTCTTACTGTCTCTCATTCTTTATGACTGCCATTGATCCATGTGTATTTGGTTTGTGTTTATAGAGCCACTTGAAGGACTAGGAATGCCTATTAACTTGGTGCATTTAATCATGTGTAATCAATGACAGAAGACATTAATAATTATTGGGAGACTCAGAAGTAGAGATGGTTTTCTAATTCAATTGTTCGGCCAAAAAGAGACTCATTGTCAAGCCTTTACTGAGCCCTCCAGTGTTCATAAGTAGAGACATTAATAATTATTGAATACAGATTGTTGACATCAAGAGTGTAAAGAAAATTTGAATATATTGTTTTAATTTAAAATTTTATATGTATCTCTTCAGGTCTTTGGCCTAGGGGTTGCTATATAATGGGTGATTTTGCAATTCATATAAGTGCAAACCTTGTCAATCGACTTGCTGAGGATGGTCAGAAATTGAAGAAAAAAACAAAGAAATCTAAAACTAAGACATTACGAGTACCTGAACAGTCTCAGACTAAGGTAAATCAGAAGCAAATATCAGATGACTCTAAAATACACCAGGGGATTGTGGCTCCTGGATGGCCGCTTCAGCCTCCATTATTCATGCCAGGAAACCAATCTGCGCAGTATGCAGAGTTAGATGCTATCAGATCTGTTCTTCAAGAGAGTGAGAAGGTTTTGGANTTTTAAAATATTGAAGCCAAAATCTACATTTTTATTTTATTCAAAAGATTATTTAGAAATAAGGTATTCAATATTTTTTTTGAAGTCCAGGAATTATGTGAAATATCTTTAAGCCCACGCTCGTACCTATAAAAGGGAGCCCAAAACTTACATAAATTTACAATGAAGTCCCCGGATCGTTTCTCTCTGCAACTTTGTTTAATCACTCGTATCAGAACCGCTAGCCAGCAGAATACTCTTAACCCGCACTGTCACTGAGGCGATTTCGAGGTAATCCTTCATTCAAGCTTTTTATCTTTTAAGATTTATTAATCAATGATTTGCAATATATCTCAAATCTTGTTTATAGATTCTCGGTTCTCAAATTATTGTTGAAATAATTAGGGTTCTATTCTCCAAACACTAATCTCGTTTGTGTTGAATTCTGATGGTTCGATGTTAAAATTTTGTCATGATAAATTTTTTGCTAAAACCGGAGCAAAATAAGCTTTCCGATCAGGATCCAGCCCTGATTGATGCACCCTTGGAGAAATGTGTTTTGCTAAATAGTATTACCTTAATGTTGTTGAGCTGCAATTTTGATTTTGATATTTTTGGGTAAGATGATAGGTTAGAATTACTTAGAAACCCGGAAATGATGCTGGAATAAGAAGCGTAGAATTTCATGATTTTGAAATTATCTGGAAACTGAAATGATGCCGGAAAAAGTTGAGTAGAACTTCAAGATTTGGCTGCCTCTACTGTTTTAGCATATGTATTCTAAATCCTTGTAAAATTACGTAGAGCTTTCGGTTGTTTTTTTTTTCTAGGTAATATGTATTTTACAAACCATTGAATTTGTGTATCTCCTAGCTTACTAGTGAACGTTTTGGTATTTAAATTTTTACCATGTCAATATATTTTTACATTCTTATTATTCAATGCATCTCTTATTAAGATGAAGACCACCCATTCCCTACTTCGAGGAATGGGGTTACAAGCCTTGTGTCCTTCTTGCTTCTTTCTCTTTTTATTTAAGGCAGCTTCCTAATAAGTTCTATAGGTATTCCCTCCCCTGGGTAGCATGGCATTGTACAAGAGAGTCTCTTACTGTCTCTCATTCTTTATGACTGCCATTGATCCATGTGTATTTGGTTTGTGTTTATAGAGCCACTTGAAGGACTAGGAATGCCTATTAACTTGGTGCATTTAATCATGTGTAATCAATGACAGAAGACATTAATAATTATTGGGAGACTCAGAAGTAGAGATGGTTTTCTAATTCAATTGTTCGGCCAAAAAGAGACTCATTGTCAAGCCTTTACTGAGCCCTCCAGTGTTCATAAGTAGAGACATTAATAATTATTGAATACAGATTGTTGACATCAAGAGTGTAAAGAAAATTTGAATATATTGTTTTAATTTAAAATTTTATATGTATCTCTTCAGGTCTTTGGCCTAGGGGTTGCTATATAATGGGTGATTTTGCAATTCATATAAGTGCAAACCTTGTCAATCGACTTGCTGAGGATGGTCAGAATTTGAAGAAAAAAACAAAGAAATCTAAAACTAAGACGTTACGAGTACCTGAACAGTCTCAGACTAAGGTAAATCAGAAGCAAATATCAGATGACTCTAAAACACACCAAGGGATTGTGGCTCCTGGATGGCCGCTTCAGCCTCCATTATTCATGCCAGGAAACCAATCTGTGCAGTATGCAGAGTTAGATGCTATCAGATCTGTTCTTCAAGAGAGTGAGAAGGTTTTGGAAAAGTTACACAAGCAAGAAGAGAACGTGGTGCAGGAAGTAACAGAAAGAGCTAAAAATCTCCATGATCAGGAATTTAAGCTTCCTTACCAGAAACCTTTACCCTGTTTGGCAGAGAAAGATGCTTGTGAGTCTTGTTACAGGGACTTTGTTAAGGATCCCCTGAAGTGTAGCCAGTTGCTTAGAAGTTATGCAGATTGTTCTCGCAAAGCTAGGCAGCAAGTGAGTGCCGCAGATAAGTAGACTTGTCGAAAATTTCCAAGTCATTTATGTGTGCGCAAGCTACTTGTCATTTTGAGCAACACTGGGATTTTTGCTGTGAAGTAAACAAAACACTAATTTGTTGTCACCATTATTGGATTGCATGCTTTGTTTTCATGCTTTCATTATAATTTTTGCTTCTCTCCATGTCTGAGCTGTTACTAATGAAACTCTTAAAGTTTGTAATTCATCTTCTCTTTTTTGATGCCAAACTTGTTACTTTAACATATAGATCTTATTTAATTAAAAATGTAAGCTCTGTTACTGTCTTACTAGTTCTGAATCACTTTGGTCAGGTGGTACTTTTTGTGGGTGAATGAAAGTTTGTTAATTAACATTCAGCTCTAATTGCTGAATAATATTTTGCAGAAGTGGATATTGAGATTATTTTTTAGCCCAGAAGTCTTAATGTTATACTAAATCTTAGTACCAATTATGGAAAATGCAGTAGCTTTATTGTTCTTAGAAACAGTATCAAATTGAAGTTCTACCTTCTTATGGACCGTGGCTGAAAATAGAAGATTCATCCATTCTTTTTCTCTCCGTTTCTTAAGACGTCAAGGCTTCAATTTTGTCTGGGAAAAGATCAAATTAATGCTCTCTAGTTAATATAACCAGATTATTAATCCAATTTAATGAAGCCAAATGTTAGTCTTCAATCTCGTTAGTCCTATAGAAACATCTTAATGTGCACGTTAAAAGCCTTTCTCCTTTAAGTAATTTGAAAATGAAAAAACGAATACAGTATAATTGTTATGTTTGCGGCGGCTACGTGTTCGACGCCATTGCCGGTGTCTCCTGAATTGGTATAAGCCGATTTACGCGATTCTGGCGTATGTTTAATTTCACTTGATAATAGTTCTTCAATTCACCCATGTATACAAAGAAAGACACAAAGCAAATTGAGGACTTGTAGGTTGTAGCACAGCTAGCACACTGTAGAGGAGACTTGAGATTTTTTTGTTGGTTAGGTGTCCGAGGTATCCAGGCCCAATATTAGAGTCTATCCTCAGGGTTGTAAAAAACCCTACAAACTTAATGGACAAAAGTAATTATACAAATATAGTAAATAACTCTCCTACAACTCGAATATAATACCTTTAAATATAACTAACCCAAGGAGGTTTTTGGTTCAGGAATGTTGATTACTGGGAATGTTAGATTACTAGAAAGATTTACCTTGGAAGATTACTGAGAATCTTTAAGAAATATTTTTACAGTTAGTTGGTGGGTATGTTATATTAATATGTTTGGTTATGGGAATAAATTGGTGGGTATGTTATTTAAATTACTAAATTGACCCTCTTTTAAATATTAATATAATATTATTTTTATTATTAATTTTTGAATAATTTCCTTTAACCCCCAATATTTCAGATTTAGCTAAAACACCCCCGCTTATAAAAAACTTTAATTTATGACGAAATCACCCCCACCTCCTGCCGCCACCGCGAACCACCGCCGAAAAATCGCCGGAGTCCCTAATGAAGAAGAAAATTTTGTGGGAGGCTCCGGGGAGCTTCGTTATGGCCGTTTTCGGCCATATTGATGGCCGAAAACGGCCATATCAGGCCAGATCTGGCCGGAAATGGCCAGATCTATTTTGGCCATTTTCGGCCAGATCAATGGCCATTATCGGCCAGGTCTGGACCAGATCTGGCCATTAACGGCCACGGATCTGGCCGTTAAGGCCAGATCTATTTCGGCCAGATTTAGCCCAGACCTGGCCGATAATGGCCAGGGATCTGGTCGTTAACGGCCAGATCTGGCCTGATATGGCCGTTTTCGGCCATCAATATGGCCAGAAATGGCCATAACGAAGCTCCCCGGAGCCTCCCACAAAATTTTCTTCTTCATTAGGGACTCCGGCGATTTTTCGGCGGTGGTCCGTGGTGGTTGGCCTGCTGTCTGCGGTGGTGGCTGGGTGGCAGTGGTGGTGGTAGCTGGGTGGCTGTGGTGGTCTGTAAATAATTTTAAATATAAGGGTATTATTGTCCAAAATTTTAATTAAACAAGGGTAAAATTGAAATAGGATATTAATGTAAATTTGTTTTAAAGTAGGGGTATTATTGTCTAAAATTTTTATTAATAAGGGATAAAATTGTAACAAAAAAAGATAACCCTGGTAATCTTAGAATACCTAAGAAAATGGAGGTAATCAAATTACCTCTGATATTATCAATAGTAACCACTATTGGTATTTGAAGATTACCGATATCTGATATTACTTGACAACCAAACATGGTAATCAAGTAATATAAGATGACATTACCCTAATAATCTCACTTATTCTCTAACCAAATACCTCCTAATGGTTAAAAGGTTTGTCACCCGACCACAAGAGGATAGATGAGACTTGAGTTTTATATTCAAGGCTGCATGAATGAATGATGAATCTGTCTCAATAATGGCCAGTATGAAAATGCTTTAATTTACTGGGTTAAGATAAGATGTGGTTGTTAGAGAATTTTGACTATAAGAGGCCATATAATTAAATTATATACTGTATAACTTTTCGTATTATTATTATTATTATTATTATTATATATGTGGTCACTCACCCCCAACGAACCATGCAGCTGAGAATCCATTATATGAATAATGATCCGTATATACCCATAATCTTTTGCAAGTGCTCCTCTTAATCCGATAAAGTTAATTAATTAGTAAAGAGATTAGGTTTTGGATTATGACAAACCAATCCTCGATTTGCACCAGAAGCATTAATATTCTGATTATTGATAGCTCAAATAATGTTCCAAAGCTGGTGGAGTTAGTTACATCATTGTTAATAAGTTTATGTCACCATCTCAATTAACTAAGCAAATGACTACAGTATATAAAAACATTAATTAATTAATAGTTAATTAAAACACAAGATTTGCACATAAGCTACGATCAGACTCCAACTATCTTTATGGACGCATTCCATCACAATAAAAGATTTAGGGCCTACTTAAAATTAGTGGGTGGTGGTAGGTTATTTTATAAGATCCTCTTTCTTTTGATTAGCCACTCATAGATCCTCTAATCATACACAAATAATACTCTACTTAACTCGAGATTATCGTTCATATCTTGTTTGTTTGTTTGTTTTCTCGGGAAAATTTATATACAATGAGAACAAAAGAAAGAAAGAAAGCCAAAGCTTATGCATCATTCATCACTCATTTGAAGAGGGAGAGAGAGAGGGAGAGAGAAAGGGATATCCACAAAGTACCAAAGATAATGGATTCCGATTTGTGCATGATCCCGTTTACATTATCTGAAACTCAAATTCAATCATGTTGATTAGCATGCATGATTAATTATATGATTAACTTTTTAAACTTTTTCTAATTATATATGCTGCTTTATTGACAATTACATCAGTTTCAATGTTTGAAGTCATCTAATGTGATCAAATGAACAATGGAATGGTGTGATAACTTGAAGCCTACAACCTTATTTCCCAAGAAACCCATTAACAAAATGTAAAGGTATATATAATATTATATTCAAATCCAAGGAAGTGGAAGGAAGGATGATTAGTCTCATCAAGCCACAAGAAAGATTAAATTAACTTAGAATAATGAAGAGGAATGTAAAATCATGCATAAAACCCTAATTTTAAGGGAAAGAGGGGCTCCCACACAAAAGAGTGGCAATCATTGAAGAGTGGCATTATTCAATAGGGCACCATTCATATATGTATATGCTTTTGATAAATAATAATAATAAAATAATATTAGTTTCTTAATTTAGATTGGGAAATGAGTAAGTGGGAAGTAATGACCAGATGCGCAATTCTCTCTGAAAGCTAGCTGCTTCATATTATTAGTCAAATAGAGTTGGCTAACTGATCTCGGAAATGATAGGGGAAAGTAGAGAGTTATTATAATCAACCCCAGATCTCCCACTGCATCCATGGTTGATCCCCAATCCGCAATCCCCATTTCATCTTCATTTTGTTATATACACTTCCTGGCTTTCAGACTTGTAAATTAATTAATTAATCCTCACAGTAATAGAGTTTTAACCACTGTTTAAGTACTCTTTTAAGTATTAAAATTATTCTTATATTCATGTACGTTGCATTCTCTGTTATTTATGTATGTGTTTTTTTCTGCATGGTGCATGCACATTGAAATTTTCCATACCAGAAAGTTTGCACATTAGATTTTCTATGTGGTGGCACAGACACCAATAATGGTGAAGGTGATTAATACAAAGCTAAGAAAACCATATTAAAGGGAAAGTCATTTAAAAAGGTTTCTGAATATATATTCAAAAAGGAAAAGGAAATAACACTGACAAGGGTAAGCATGCACGAGGAAGATGATGTATATAAGAAATGTTACTTTCTTTATAATTAATTTCTCTCCTTAATTTAGTAAAGGAAAAAGACCGAAAAATAAAATAGAATAGAATACTAGAGAAGAAAGAGAGAGAAAGAAAGACATACAATTCTGGAGGAGTCTGAAACTTGCAGATAATTTAAAGTAATTAGAGAAGAAGAAGAAGAAGAAGGGTCTCAAAAGTGAAATTGTGTGGGGCAGAGGGCATTGCAGAGATAAGGATCTGAGCTCGATGTACTGCATCGAGTTTCTGCCTGGCAGAATCTATCGTTAGGTCAATATCTTTCCCATGTGCTGCTTTGAACAAACTTCAATCTGTACTTTGGACTTAAAAGTCATCCTTTGAACGATGTTCTATTTTTATTCATTCTTCTTAGAAGCTAGAGACTAATATCTTCCAGCCTGGTTTTATTATTTCATCAACTTCTTTTTTAGGGTTTATTCTGATGTGTTATATATATATATATATTATATATATATATATATATTTGAACTACCGCTAAGAAAATGCCCAACGTCCCACTACATCATCAACTAATAAATTATGAAAATACAGATAGCTTTTCCATCAAATCTCTGAATTTAAAAATATGAGCGCCATTTCACTGGTAAAAATGGTTAAAGATTTTTGTATATGACCTAGTAGTAGAAGATTACATCATGCACTGCTTTTTCATCTTCCTTTGTTCCCATACCAGCTGTAAAGTTGATAAGATGGTTTCTGTTATGCCTCAAAAGTCATCTTATGTTAGCTTAATAATGTCTTTTGATACTAACTGTCAAGCTCTATCTCTTCAAAGATATTCTTACTAACTCTATCTCTTTTCAATAAATTATGATGAGAGTCTTATATGTGTCAAGGCAACTGCAAACAACTCATTACATTTGAATGCAAGGTGTATAAATTATTGGTATTCCTCTTTTCGAAAAGGGGGGCTGGGCATATGAGAGTTAACCATAGATAAGAGCTCAATTTTTTCTCTCTGTAAACACTGTATTTCTTCATCTTTATATGCCTTCTGGATAATATTATAAAAATAGTCAGAGATCAATAAAATAACAGTAGATGTAGGAGTCACTTGTTGAGCATCCGAACTACTATAAAAACCTCTCTTATCAACCTATTATTTATGTTTTCTACAACATATATAATCTTAGCTCCATATTCAAATCTCATGGATCCATTACGTGTATTCAAATCTCATGGATCCATCACGTGTGATTCTTAAGTCCGCTTAACGTTTTTCACGTGCGAGTCGTTGGCGTCCAAAATCAAGTGTCAACAGTTTCAAACCCTATAATTTTTGAACTGGCCATCCTATTCCTCCCCATTATAAATTTCACCATTTTTATGATTAATCTTTCCTTCTTTTACGTACCCCACTCTCCACCACCTCTCTTTCTTTTTCTTTCTTCGTTTTTCTTTTTAGGGGAGGTCTCTGAAAATGATCTTTTTCATTTTCCAATACACCAAATTCATAGCTCCGATTAAAGCTACAAATTCAGGTTCATATTATTAAACATTTTAAACGAGGAATCTGCTACAAATCGAATATGTGTTTAATGGAAAAGGTCAGGTGAACCAAGCTACACAAAGCTTGGTATGGTGATCATATCAAGGCTTGACTTGAAATTCATATTTGATATTAAATTAAAAGAAATAAAGAAGAAATTAGATTTGTATTGTGGTGGTGGAGTATGGAATTTGATGTCATTTCTCGGCCCCCACGCATGGGGCACGGGCCCTGGTACAAGTGCTTCATAAAGCTGAATTTTTCTTGCCTTCTTTTCCCATTTATATATTTAATATTAAACCTTTTGGCTCTTCACGACCCTACCAACCTTTTCCTAAAACTAAAATAATAACTTAATTATATTTATCCTAATTAACCCTTATTAATTTCATGTTTATCATTTACATTTGATTTCTAATTTTACTTTAGAGACGCTACAAAACAATTCTATCATGCATTTACATATATACAATATAATTAGAATAATAATAATATTATATCTATGAATGATTGAAAGATAGTATCTAAGTTAATTAATTAATTAACCCACTTGGATATTCCTCTCTAAGTATCATTTTCTAAACTAATTAATTAGTTTATAAGATGGTTCATGAATTAAATTATTGGCCCTTCATATAATCATTTTATTTCCAAAAAATGGTGTGAAGAAACTTCTTCAAAGTACAGCCCCACCACATATTATATGGTCGAATTTGATTGACGTTAAAGTGCTACAATAATATTGTGAAGATGAAAAAATAAATAAATAATTAAAAGAAAATTAGTATAATCTATGAGTTTGAACAAGAGTGAATGAAAATTATGAAATGATTGACCGAGTAAATTTTGTATCCCGATGAAATGCCGCATCCGAGGCCGTAGGATTGACCGATCTGCAAATATTTCGAACCCTCACCACCTCACGTGCGATTTCCTTTGATGATTATCTAGATACCCGTGCCATCAGCTTTTTCATTTCATTAATCGCCGACTCAGTCTCCACCAGTAAAAGGCGTACACTTGTCAATCACAAACTTGGGGTTTATTAGTTTAATTAATCGCACTTAGTTTAAAAAAAAAAAAAGTAGAGGTCTACTTAATTATTGAGGAGTCAAAGACTCAATCATGTCTAATATTAATTAGTTTTGTAAATTATGTTTTAATCTAATATCAATTATTATATAAAATAAATCTATGATTGGATCCAACATTTATTATAAAAGGCAAGGCCATTGTTACACACATGGTGAAAATTATTTGATACAAAATTAAATAACTATAATTAAAGATCATATTTTATATTAAATAAAGAATCCAAGACCAAAGACACGTATTTATTTTTAATAAACCATATTATTTTTATATGGCATTTCACTAAATAGATAATTCTCAATAATAATTACTTAGATTTCCCTTTTTTGAATTATTATTGTTGATATGTATTGCTTACAATGTAAACTTTTAATTTAAATTAAAACGTAAGCATTGTGTCATTAGTGATTAAGGGTCAAAGATATGGGCATTTGACTAGAAAATAAAGGCGATGAATTGCCGATTATTTCGAAATGGATTAGACCGAATTAGCATTAAAAAATGAAAATCCCCCTTAATCATGAATCATGCACATAAGTTTAATCTTGATCAATCAAAGCCAAATATCTAATCCTCTAAACCTTTTCTCTCACTTAATTGATTAATCTTGGCCACCAATCGCCATTATAAAATCTCCTCCCAACCTTCTCTTTTCCTTTAGCTCTTAACCACATTTTCAGTCTTTCATTGATTATTATTAGCTTTTCAGCTTTCCCAAGCAAAGCTATAGCTGTTACTACTACAGACTACAGTATCGCCATTTTTTCCAGTCTCTCTTTAATGCTAAGCGGCGTTGGCAGCAAAATCTGACAAACAAACAAACTCTTTTAATTGCCTGTTTTGTTAGCTCTCTCTCAGTATCTACAACTACACGTTTGTTATTTGATTCCTATTTCTTCATTAGTCAGCTAAGTCAATCGCTCAGTAGCCAGAGATTCTTCAACTGTAAACAAAGAAGAATCGAAGATGCTCGACACTGTGAAGTACCTTATCGGCGCAGCTGGCGCCAGTGGCTACGGCTCTAAGTCCACCGCCGAGGAAGTCACCGACAACTGTCCTGATTTGCGATCCATTACCGTCATCATTACCGGTAACTTTACCTTTACTTTAAGGGCTTATATATATGAAATATGATCAATCTTGATGATCGACTGAAAGGACTGATTTTTTTTGTTTTTTTTTTTTCTGTTTGAACTAGGCGCCACGTCAGGGATAGGAGCCGAGACGGCTCGGGTGTTGGCCAAGCGAGGCGCGAGACTGGTGCTACCGGCTCGGAGTCTCAAAGCTGCTGAGGAGGCCAAGGCGCGTATCACGTCCGAGTGTCCCGGTTCGGAGATTGTTGTTATGGCTCTTGATCTTAGCTCTCTCAAGTCCGTTAGAAACTTCGTTTCAGAGTTCGAGTCTCTCAACTTACCTCTCAATCTCCTCATGTAAGCATCCAAACTTCCGTTTTGCGTTCTCTTTCATTCATTATCTGTCCATTTTTATTCTGTTTGGTTGCCGAGAAAATCCAATAACTCGCTACTTTCATTTTTTGTTGTTTGCTTAAAGTTTTCACCAACCAAACACAACAACCTTAAACAAAAGAACTCATTGTCATTTGATAATTAACATATTTAATTTAAATTAAACGTTTTTTAAAATTTCTTTTTTATTGGTTGATCTAGAAACAACGCTGGCAAGTTTGCACACGAGCATGCAATATCTGAAGATGGAATCGAGATGACCTTTGCCACTAATTATCTAGGTAATTAATTATACGAAATCAAATGTATTAAAATTATTTGGTGAATTATGGCTGATATTTTGATGAATTTTCAGGTCATTTTCTACTGACTAAACTCTTACTAAAGAAGATGATTGAAACTGCAAAAGAGACGGGCGTTCAAGGCCGAATAGTGAATGTATCATCCAGCATCCACACTTGGTTCGCCGGCGATATGATCCGATATCTCGCACAGATATCGCGAAACAAAAGGTAAAGGTAGAAAGCAAATAGGATCAGGAGGTCTTTAATTATTTACTTGGACTGATCATGAAATAAATGATAGGGGGATTTGACTTTATTTGTTTCTGGTTTCTGTTTGTTTATTTTTTATTTTTTTAATTGAATTTTTTTACTCCCTTGTCTCCAGTCATTACGATGCGACACGTGCTTATGCTCTCTCGAAGCTCGCTAACGTTTTGCACACCAAGGAGCTTGCTCAGAGACTCAAGGTATACGTGGGATTTTTTTTCTTTATTTTATTTATTTAAAAAGCGAATTTTGTTGTTTTCCCTTTGATTTTCTTGAGGACTATTGTATTAATAATTATATGTTTGTTAATAATGCAGCAGCAAATGGATGCCAACGTGACTGTGAATTGTGTTCATCCTGGGATCGTGAGAACCCGTCTCACTAGAGAACGAGAAGGCTTTCTCACAGGTCAATATATTATTATTATTATTATATGAAATTGATGATTTCTTTAATCTCTCATCTTAATTAATTAATTAATTATTATGCAGATCTTGTATTCTTCTTGACCTCAAAGCTTTTGAAGACCATTCCTCAGGTAATTAAATTTACAAAGTGTTAATTTCTTTTCTTTTTGATTCTGTGTTGTTAATGAATATCTAAAATATTTGGTGTATTGTTGTAATTGTAGGCTGCTGCTACGACCTGTTATGTTTCTGTTCATCCGAGACTTGAAGATGTTTCTGGAAAGTATTTTGCGGATTGCAACGAAGCTTGGACGTCAAAATTGGGATCCAACTCAAATGAAGCTGCAAGATTATGGGCCATCTCTGAACTTTTGGTTTCTACAGACCCTAAAGAAGTCCTTGATATCAACGCAAAGCCTTGGATTTAAAAAGACATTTAAATTTAGAAACTACGAGAGAGAATGAAGTCTTAGTTGTACATGATCAAGGAAGGGAGATCAGAAATATATATACTTATATAGTATAGATAAACACAATGCATACAAATATTTAGATGAGTATAATTAGTAATGAAGATAAGAGATAATTAATTAATTAGATAAACAGCTTAAAAATATAGGTGGTTTGAGGTGTTGGTAGAAGTTAGGCAAGTTGTGAGATATGAACTTGATTATATATATAATTATACAATGATTATGGAGTTAGAGTTTTGTTGATGTGGAAACCCTAATCCAGATTGTTAATATGATGATCGGTTTTGTTTATTAAGAACATGGGGGAGGTGGGTTCGTGGCATGTGGTGGTTGATTTTAGAAGAGTATCTTTGTGGTAATGCTGTGGGCGGCCCTACTAACATGCGCCAGCAAGTTTGGTGGTGGGAGGGAAACATGCGTTTAAGGAAAGAAAATTTCAATATCATTACTCGTACGTGTTTATTTAATTAATTAATTAATATATATTATTAATTTAATTAATGTTTTTGCAAAGACCATCCATTAATCCATCAATGCAAAATTAATGAAGACTCGTAAGTCGTAAATTTGACTCTCTCAGTTGTCCGTTAATCAACAATAATACTTACAAAAGCCGGCCAGTTACAGAGAAACCCTAGTCATCCCGTTTTCAGAGTTAAGAAGCCTTCTATGCAAAAAAAATGAAAAAATATGACCATTTTGACCATTTCTTAATTTTCTTTGGGGCCCAAACGGCCCAAACCTCACATGCACATGCACATGCAATATTATATATATATATATAGTCATCTTATATTATCTTTTATCTGATTACCATATTTGGTTATCAAATAATATAAGATACTGATGTTACTATTGGTAATATTTGAGGTAATCTTATTACCTCTATTTTTTTAGGTATTTTAAGATTACCAGAGTTATATTTTTTTGTTACAATTCTATCCATTATTAATAAAATTTTAGGACAATAATGCTTTTATTTTTAAATTTATTTACATGAATATAGCTTTTACTATTTCACCCCAATTAATTAACTTTTTGGACAAAATTACCCTTGAATTCAAAAAAAATTACAACCCACCCAAGCCACCACCCTTAGCCACCCGCCGCCGGTAACCATTGCCGTGGCCGCCGTCGGAATGGTGCATAAAAGGTCGAAAATGGTCGTCGTCGTGCGCCGATATGGCATGGTCGTCAATAGCCATCGATCTAGCCGTTGATTGCCAGATCAATGGATCTGGCCGTCTGTCAAGTCTGGCCATTTCCGACTAGATCTCTAGTTGGAAATTGCCATACGGCAGATGGAGGCCATTTCCTGCCTTCCGTGCGCTGTTAGGTTGCTAGATGCCGGCGGCCTGTGTTAGAGTCATGAAAGTGACTCTATTTTGATGATAAAAATACCCCATGTGTGATTAAATTGAAGTATTTTGAGACAATTAAAGAATTCATATATTTATTCACGAAAATCAGTTCCTAATATTTTTCTTATGAATTTAACGTGTTTGGAATGATTTTGGAAATGATATGAGTTGATATTAGGTTGTGGTTTATGGATTAGGGGTGATTTTGTCTCATTTATGCTGTTTAGGGGGTAAACTGTCATAGGGGGTAAACTATCATATTTATAAGGTTGATTTGTCACTTTTCAATTATGCAGGGACAAAAGTGATATTTTGCATTTTGTTCTATAAAAGAAAACGAAAAGTCGCAGATCAGGAGGCGCTGTTCATCCATCTTTTCCGCCGACGCTTCATCTTCCTTTCCGGTGACCTCCGGCGACGGTTCAGCTTCCTCGTGCACAGATCGTCGTCATCTCCATCGTCTCGGATCACCATCGTGGGAACCATCACGACACCGCAACTCTTCGTCTTCCACCACCATGACGTTTCGTCTTCCAAGCCAGTTTTGGCTGTTTTCCGGTGACGTTTCGGCTCCCCAAGACCTGATCTGAACTCCCTATCACCAGAGCTTTTCATCGGTATTTTCGGATCCCATTTCCGCCACCGTTTTCCGGAAGACCTGTTGGAAAATTAACGTTTTTCGGCGAGTGCGGTTGTTCGTATTCCGGGTTGTCTGTTGGTCGTTTTCGCCCCTTCTTCGCATCATATCGCTATCGGTTACCTCATTTCCGCCATGGTAAGCTTCGTTTCCACCGTTTCAGCCTCCGTCATCATCACCATGAACGGCTAAGTTCCCGATTGTCTGTTACGGCATAGGCGAGATCGAGATTGACTCCACGACTCTCCTCATCAGCTCTCGACTAGTTGGATGAGCCCGATTATAGGACATTTGGTAGTATTGTGCTTCAGATTATATTTGTTTTCGTTTCATGTTTGATTTCGATACTTTAATATGATTTGAGCATAACTTGTGATGAATATTGTTGTTCATTATGATTTAATGTTTTCATAGAACTTGCTGGATGATAAACGTTGGTTTGAAATAATTAAATAATGAATATTGCTTTTCATTACTTCGCATCGATTGTAATTGAGTTGTGTTCGGATTTAATTTAATTTCTACTATTGTTGCGTTTATTGTGAAGTTGGTTGATTGGAATATACGTGTTGACAAATTGTATTTGTTAATCGCATACCAACTAGTGGTATTGTCTTGTAGCGTTTATCGGCGTTCAATGATAGTCTTTAACCAATCGAACTTGAGTGATCGAGTGAGATATGATAGATTATACCTAGAGTGTCGGGAGGCCATTTCATTGATTTACCTTGCCTTGTCGGTTTAGGGGATCGTAGAGGGTGGAGAAGAATTGTGTGAGTCGGTCTCGTGTCGAACCAAAACTGTAACGGCAACATTTTTATTATAAAGTCTTTATTAGTTTTAATTTCACTTTTTCATTATTTGCATTTAGTCTATTTAGTTTCATTAATCAATTGCCACTTTCATTTCCGCTACTCAAAATACATTAGGTTGTTAGTCTTGCTCTCTGTGGATTCGACCCTGCTTACCGCTAACTACGGTATTTAGGTTTAATTTTGTGACTGTGACGACTGGTTCAACAGCCTGCGGTGGTTGTCAGTGGCCGGCAATGGCTGGGTTAGTGGGGGTGCTTTGTTGATTTTCTAAACTTTTATTTTGTAGTTGTTTTTGCTATGTTTTTAAATGGGGGGGGGGAGGGGGTTATAATAATCCAAATAATAATAATATTTAATTAGAAGACAATTCAGTAATTTAAATAACATATCCACCAATTTATTCCTCCCAACCAAATATATTAATATAACATACCCACCAATTAACCAAACACATTTTCCTAAAGATTCCCAGTAATCTTCAAGGTAATCTATCTTTCTAATAATCCAACATTCCTTGTATATATATATATATATATATATAACCTCTTTATAATCATAATGGTGAGACTAACTAATTTTATTACTATAAGGAGATTATAATTTAATGGAGGTATAGTTACAAAAATTATAGTTTTGACTTCTGATTTTATAATTCATGTTTTAGTAGTACAGTATTAGGATTTCAATTCATATTTTAGTAATATTAGGATTTCAATTCATATTTTAGTAATTGCCTACTTTTGAAACAGATAAAAGATCGTTTCTTAGAACTAGGAAAAATAAGTGGCATTGATGGAATTGTAAATGCAGTTGATGCATGGTCAATTGATGTGAAGCCATAGACAATTGTCAATGGTCTTAAGCGCTACAAAATTAGGACCATTAATGTCAATGAATTGCAAGTTACAAATGAAGTGGATGATGAGAATAAAAGAGTCACTATAGAATTGAGTGATTAGATTTGACAACTTCACTACACTAATTGAATGGATATTGATGTCTTTTTCAATTATCCAAATGAGCAACAAATCGTGTATGTTTTAACCAAAAGAGAAATCATTATTGCAATTGGACAAGAAGAGAAATGAAATAATCTTAAGGATAATAGTACGGAAATACAAAAAGTCTTGTGCCATGAAGCTCTAAACATGTTTGAGAAATTAAAAATATTTTAGCTTCTACAAGAAGGTATCCATACTAACGAGCTATTATGTACTCGTAAGGTAAAAGATTTGATAATAACTCTAAAGCATAAATCATTGTCCCAAACAATTTTAAATAAATATTTTATTTTATTTTAAACCTTTAATTTTACATAACATATATTTTTTTTGTAATTAATACAGATAATTATTACTATGTAGATGCAACTTTCCTTAAGGCGAGAATTAGAAAAATTATAACTTATTACAATGTAGAGTTTATTCTTATTTATAACTATTCCAAATTAGGACTATAATTTTTATGACTATATAGAGTTTATTCTTATGTAAAGTATCACTATAGAGATGTTTTACTCTCTATATATATATATATATATATCACATTAGCATTTGAGACGGTTGCCGTTTGCCATTTTCCGATCCAAATGTTTTGGCCTTTATCAAAGTGAATGTGAAGTTGCTGCTAGAGCATTTTGGGTAGAGGTGTTAAAAAAATGCAGAAATCAAACTGAACTAGTTTTTCGATTATTCGGAAAATCGGTTCGGTTTCAGTTCAAATAAATACAAAAAATGGTTTTCTGGTTCGGTTACCGATTTATCAGATTATGGGAATTGGTAAACCAAAACCGGTTTTATAAACCAGTTTATTATAAAAATAATAAAATAAAAAATAAAAAAATAAAACCAATTTATTATAAAAAGAATAAAATATAAAACCGGTTTAAATTAGGGAAAAATCAAAATAAATAAGTTAATTGTTTTTCTAGTTAACCGAAAAACCGGTTTTTCCCTTAATCGGTTTGGTTTTGGTTCAATTTTCCTGAACCGAAAAATCGGTTCAATTTAGAAAATCGGTTAATCGGTTTTGAACATCTCTAATTTTAGGTGATAGAAACTAAATAGAATATATGCATGGTTAACCTTAACAGTAACCATAGCCTAAGCAAAAATTAAAATCCTACTGATCTATTCTCATATATTCGGGTAAATTAATATAAGAAAGTTCTTTTACATTTTTCAAACCAAATAATTAACAATAATTTTTTTTTTTTTTTAATAAATACTATATTTTCATAAACTCTTCTTCTATAAATCTTGGTCGAACAAGCCGTACAAAATGGACCCTTAACAATATCCTTATAAATTAACTATTAATTCCTAATTAAAAATTGATTGTT